ATCTACATTTTCCCAAAGCATTTGTGCGTGTTTGCGTCCGTGTGTGTGTGTGTGTGTGTCTGTGTGTGTGTCTGTGTGTGTGTGCGCGTATGTGTGAGCGTGTACGTGTGCGCGAGCACGTGCGTGTGTATGTGTGTATATTTATAACATTTACCTCTTTTATTCTTCAGCCTTTTCTTCTCTTCATCATCGTGATAACTGTTACTACTACTGCTACTGTTGTTGTTGTTGTTGACGTTGTTGAATTGGTCTATATATTTATCGTCTGAATTTAAAAAATATTTGTTTGTGTGTGTCTGTGTGTGTGTGTGTATCTAAATTAACTTATAGTATCAATGATATACGAAATGATATCCTGTTAAATGAAATTATATCTATATTATATCTAAATTAACTTATAGCATAATTTATATCTGGAATGATAGCCATGTTATATGAAATGATATTTATATTATATCTATATCGTATCTAAATTAACTTATAGTATCAATGATATACGAAAGGATATCCCTGTTATATGAAATGATATCTATATTATTTTATGTGATAATGGGGCGGGTGTATGTTTTTTTTTATATTAGTTGATATTTATGATCAAATTATATTTCAGTAAACAAAAATTTAACATATATGGCCGTTAAGAGTGTTGTGTGTGCGTGTGCGTGCGTGCGCAACTATGATATAGTATCAATGATCAATGATATATTAAATGATATTGATGATATACCAACAATTATATTGATGACATTTTATGTGAACGTCTGTATATATTCATGTATGTGCTTGTTTGTGTGTATAATGTATATCTGTACACGTGTATGCCTGTATACGTGTATCATATCATATAGTATCTATCAAATATGAGTCACGTGTTAGGGCTAGAACATTTAATTAATGCAATTTGTAGACATCCTGACATCTAAAATACACATGTGTGCGTGCGTGTATGTGTGTGCGTGCGTGCGTGTATTCTTCACATGCTTATTTTATTTAAAGCTAGAGATTCCTATGACTATATACACAACTTATGGGCTTGCGTGTGTCTATCTGTATCTGTATGTGTGTGTGTTTGTATGTATCTGTATGTGTGTGTTTGGGTGTATTGGTGATAACCTTTTGTTGGCATTTTGATTCCGTGGTTTCTTCAGCAATTAAGAGACCAAAAAGATGATGATGACGATGTATCGAGACTAAAAAGATGATGATGATGATGATGGCGATGATGTCTCGAGACTAAGAAGATGATGGTGATTACGATAATGACGATTATTCAAATGAGTGAATTTAGTCGTTGCAAGTAAATATTGTACTAGTTGTAGTGGTAGTAGTTGTAGTGGTAGTAGTAGTAGTTGTTGCAGTAGTATTATTAGTAGTAGTGGTATTAGTATTAGTAGTAGTAGTACTAGTAGTAATAGTAGTACTAGTAGTAGCTGTAGTTGTTGTAGTAGTAGCAGCAGCAACAGCAACAGCAGTAGTATTAGTCGCAGTATTTGTTGTGTGTGATTTATTGTAGTTGTAGGTAGATTGTCAGTTGACTTTTAAACACGGAGAGGTTAATCATACGTTCATCTTTTTGGATGTTGGATAAATGTTGTGACGTTGTTGTTGATGTTGTTGTTGTTGTAGTAGTTGTTGTTTATGATGATGTTGTTGTTGTTGTAGTAGTTGTTGTTTATGATGATGTTGTTGTTGTTGTTTTTGCTTTTGTTGTTGATGTCATTTCTTACTGTAAACTTTGATGTTGTAGTTAATTTTTTAGAAGCTCTTTATACTTGATATGGGTGATTTTGTCGCGAGTTTACATGGGTTTTTTTACAGATTAACGAAATGTTTGCTGATGTCTTCTTTGTTGCTGTGGTTAATGAAACAAATGTTGTTGATGTTGTTGGCTTTTCTGAAAATGTTGCTGAAATATTAATGTAATTGTTGCTGTAGCGAAATTGTTGATTTTAAAACAACATTATAAGTGTTCTTCAAGCCATCAGACCTAGAAAAAAAATCATTAAATAACATCACATTTATTACAGCGAACAATAGCTATGTACCGCCTATTAAGTACACGCGTCCTTACATATGCCAGTACAATGTACTTTTAGTTAGGTACACATGCCCTGATTCACACAAGTACATAGTACTTTTTGTTATATATACACACACACACACACACACACACACACACACACACACACACACATCTCCTGATAATAAATACACGCCGGTACATTGTACAGCTGACTAAGTACACGTGCACCGATGTTGTTATTAAGTACACACACGCGAGGAGGGGATGCTAAAGAAGGAGGAAGTGGTGCTCATTTAAGTCCGGATTTAGAAAGAAATTGTTTCCGAGATATTTCTTCAGTCCAGTCGCACATACGAATAAGTTGGCTTACTGCGTCTTGTTGTATTGTTGTCTGTCTGTGTGTGCGTGCGTGCGTGCATATCTATGCGTGTTTGTGTCTGTGTGTATGCGTTTGTACGTGAGTATATCAGTGTATTGTTGTTCAAACGCGTGTACTTATTAGCGAGGCGGTGTTAGTGTTAGGTGTTAATTTACGTCTGCAAACGTTTGTCGTGAAAGATGATCTCATCTTTTATTGATTCATCCGATCGCTGATACCCTCCTCTGCTGATATTTTTTTATTGACGATTCTACCGATGTCGATCATCCATTTTATGTCAGCAATCTTTGCTTTCTAAGTATCGTGTACTGAGTATACAGTTTTTCTATTCTGTGAACTTTTATAACAACAAACATTTCGAATGCATCTGTACTTAAATTCCAGTATTGAATCTCATTTCAGGTACTTTCACTTTAAGTAGCAAGTAATTTGGGTACATCTGTACTTCAAGCAAATTACTGTTTTTCTCATCTAAATACTTAATTTGGAGTACTTGCACTTGAGGCAGCAAACAATTTGAGCGTAGTTGTAGTTGAGTGTACACTTTAAGTTGTAGCTTATGGAGAGCGGGAACTTGATCCGGTAGCTTTACGTGAGTAGCTGTACTTGAGGATATAAGTACCGGTGATGCAATAATCATACGGAACGCGTGTAAGTACTTATGTAACTAGATATCCATGAAAGAATCTACTTTTGAGATATCCTGATAGAATCTGCTTATAAGATATCTTGATATTATCTCCTTCTTATAAGGTATCCTGATAGAATCTGCTTATAAAATATCTTGATAGTATCTCCTTCTTATAAGGTAACCTGATAGAATCTGCTTATAAGATATTTTGATAGTATCTCCTTCTTATAAGGTATGGTATCCTGATAGAATCTGCTTATAAGATATCTTGATAGTATCTCATTATTATAAGATATCTTCATAGTATCTCTTTAGTTTTTTAATATAAGTAATTTAAAGCAAAAATGTTAACAGGTGAGGTGCTATGAAAATTATTTTGCACTACTATTACTACTACTACTACTACTACTGCTGCTGCTGCTGTTACTACTACTACTTCTTCTACTACTACTATTACTACTAATAATAATAAAAATAAAGGAAAATTTATATAAAAATAACAAAAAAATGTTTAATATTTTTTCTCATTTCAATTCTTACCTCTCATTAATGCGTCTTCCAGTTGAATTAACCCATGTGATTGAATGAATGAAAGAATGAATTAATAAATGAATGGGTGGATGACTGAATGATGAATGAATAAATAAATGAATAAATAAATAGATGAATGAGTTAATTCATTAATTAATTTTTGTTTTGCTTGGTTAACTTTTTCCCTAGCTTATATATATTTTATCCGTAATTGTATTCCAGATAAAACTATTTAAAATATAAGAATGAGGATGATGATGTAGACGATGAAGATGATGATGATGATGAAGACGATGATGATGATGATGATGAAGATAGGGATGACGATGTTATTGATAGAAAAATGATGATAATAATAATAATTATGACAGATTAGACAAAAAGAAATTATTTTTTTCCTACGAGATTATCCAGATAACCGTGACTTCCAGCCAATGAATAACCAGCAAAAATCATATTTCTCTCCATGAACATTTTAAATTTATGGAAAAACAGCCATAAAAACAATGATATATTAAAATAAAATAAATAATTTTCGATCAAAATTAATAATTTCTGGTATTTTAAATTCGTTGCTAACTTAAATAACGTCTCCCGTCAGTTTGTATGGTCAGTTCACAGAAAATATACGCTTCACTGATCTTATGAAAGAGAGAGTGAGAACATCACCACTGTGACACTAACTACGTTCAAATCTGTAGCTCCGCCCACTAACCACACCCATATTTTAATTTCTAAATAATTTTTTCTAGTTTTAATGAATATTAAATTTATTTGCTTTATCTGAAAATCACAATAATTAGAATGTTTTTTCATACTATGTCAACTAAAATGTTAAATAGAGGACATATTCATAAAGTTAAATTGACGCTTTAATGTTGTTAGAAAAAGTTGAATACATCAAACACGAGAATTATAACCAAATATATGATATATATTTGTATTAATATATATATATATATATATATATATGAATGAATTTCTACCCTATTACGTTTAACAAATGATTGGCAGCTCACTCTCGACCGCCATTGGCTGGCTGTTTAAATCTTCCAACCAATGAAACGCTCGTATCGGTCGGAGCAAACAGATGGCATCTGAAAGACATAATGAGCCAGTGGAAATGAAATTATGAATTCAAAAAATTATTTGAAATAATAATAATAATAATAAAATTGAATAATAATAAAAATGAATAAGAATAATAATAAAATTATTGCAAGCGATGAAAAATTGCGTTACAAAAACAATAAAATAAATGTCTCAAAAACTAATGATGATGATGATGATGAGTTTGATGTGATGACGACGATGACGATGACGATGATGATGACGATGAAGACGACGACGACGATGATGAGGATGATGATGACAGCCAATATGATTAAAAAGCGTAGCAAGTTAATTAAAAAATATTTCAATCAATAAAAAAGAGATAATACATATATTGTGCCTATGAAAAAATACGTGTATGTTTGTTTGTATGTGTATGTATGTTTATGTATGTTTATGTATGTGTATATATGTATGTATGTGTATGTATGTTTATGTATGTGTATGTATGTATGTATGTGTATGTATGTTTTAGCGACCTCCACAGAGTGTACATTTTGTCCTGTGCCTGCCGACAGATTCCACCGAACCAAATTTGCTTTTGTTGGCGGCTGATCGTACCTTCCTCTTATTAGAAAAGCCATGTATGTATGTTGTTATATAAACTTGTGTTTCAAACTTATGAAGCATTGTAAGCATTATAAAAGTGTTCTATTGTGCAAGTTTAGCCGGTCATGTTGGTATATTATTATATAATGGGTATTTTTGTTATTAAAAATTTTATTCAAAAAAGTTTATTAAAAAAAAAAAAA